CAACCCTCTGGGAGGCTGAGGCAGGAGGATCACAATTTCAAGCCTAGCCTGGGCAAATTAGCAAGACTCGGTCTCAAAAAAAGGAAAAAAGGGTTGGGGATGTAGCTCAGTGTGAAGGCCCTGGGTTCAATTCCCAGTACCACCAAAAAAATGAAAACATAAAAAGTGTGCTAAGAACAGTTACAGCAAGACAAAAGCCTAATCCCTAATAACTACATAGAGTTGTCCTAAGAGCTTTAAAATGGCTTTCTCAACTCATTTTCAATAAAATGACCTCATAATTTGTAAAAGACAATATAATCTTGTCTTTGTTATTGGCATTCAAACACAATTTTTAACAAATAGAGGAAAACTTTAAAACATTCCCCACAGCAAAATCTTCACAGTCCATGATAGAGGAACAGGAGTTCCATGGAAGACAATTCCTCTTGAAGATTAGTTTACAGCCAAATTATAAAGCATATGAAGACATCTGGCAGAGTTAACAAGTGACTTCAAAATCTCTGAGCAGCTTTAAAACAAGTATTGTTGAGTTTTCAAATAGCCAGACAGAGCAACACATGCCTATAATCCCAGCTACTCAAGAGACTTACACAATTCAAGCCCAGCCTGGGAAACCTGGTAATTTAAGAGTCACCAGACTGTCTCATTTTAATAAAAAAAAAAAGTCAAGTTGAGGAGGCCAGCCTGGACTACACAGTGAGACCCTGTCCCAAAAAACCAAAAATAAATAAAAACTTTAAAAAAGCTAGGATAGGGGCCGGGGATTTAGCTCAGTGGTTTCGCTGCCTGCTGCACAAGTGCAAGGACCTGAGTTCAATCCCCAGTACCAAAAAAAAAAAGCTGAGATGTAGCTCAGTGTGAAACCCCTGGGTTTGACTGCCAGAACGACCCCCCAAAAAAAAGAAAAATCAAAAGACATGAAGACATAATTAACAGAATAAAAATCTTACATAACAGTTCTAGGAGAAGAAAACTTAAAGAGAAGATGAACATACTTAAAGAGATACAGAAAAAAATGTTTTAAGTGGAAGGATACAGAGTCCTCAAATAAAGAGGGTGAGTCTCAAATAGGACAGACTGCCACAGACGGTCTGTTAGCACAAAGATACCAGAGGAAAAGTACAGTAAAGTCTTACTTTCAGGGAAACAGCTTCTCTGCTAGAATTCAAACAGGCTAAACCAGAGGAAAATAAGGAAATACTTAGACATGAAAGACTAACATAAACTTATTATATAAACTGAAAATATACACACTGAAAATAAGGAAAATGGGGACTGGGAGTGTAGCTCAGTGGAAGAGCAAGCACACGGTCCCCCGGTTTGATCCTCACCACTGTCAAAAATAAAAATGCCACGCACCGTGTCACATTCCTGTAGTCCAGGCCACTCGGGACAAGCACATGGGCCGTGCACCCAAGATTCAGGCCAGCCCATTCAGGGGGGCTAGTACAGCCCTGCTTGCCTGGCACAGGTGAGGGTGTGGGCTTCACCCCCAGCACCACACAACTTCAACAGAAAAAACTAGGTCACAATGGACTGACAGAGCTAGCTATAAGTAGCAGAACACAAATACAGTAGGATACTGTTCCTGTAAAATACAAAACATACAAAACACTAGACATGTGCTCTTCATAGGAGTGTGTGTGCGTGTGTATTAACTAATACGTGCTCACAACAGATAGTAAAAGGATGACAGTTGCCTCAATCTAGGGAGGTAAAAAAAGTACTTCAACGTCATTTTTTCCGTTTTGTTTTGTATTTTTGGTACCAGGGATCGAACTTGGGACCTTGCACTTTTCGAGGCAGGCGGCGGAACCACTGAGCTAAATCCCCGGCCCTCAACTTAATTTTTTAATTGACTATTTCTTGTAAGGGAAGATTTAAAGCAAATATGACAAAATAACATGTTTATTCTAAGTAGGAATCCATAAATATCTGTAACATGTCCTCTCTTACTCAGAACTATCTATGATAACTAAAGGTATATTAACATAATTTTAATCAGAATTAAATACAAACAAGCCAGGCATGGTGGCGCAGGCCTAAAATTCCAGCACTCTGGGAGGCTAAGGCAGGAAAATACCAAGTTGAAGCCCGGCTTGGCAACTTAGTAATTTAGCAAGAATCTGACTCAAAAATTAAGGGCTGAGGACCTAGCTCAGTGAGAAAGCCTAGTCCCCAGTAGCACAAAAAATAAATAAATAAACCTAAGTATACAATTCACATGGCTTTCCAGATGTATTTACATATAATCTTCATCATGGAAGAATTATAATTACAGAACAGTGAGACCCTACCCTTATCCCTGAAACACTGGTTTTAATTTCATCCACCAGATTTCCCCTCGACGGCCTAAGAAATTAGGAAAAATACTGATTTTTAAAAAGGCAGAGCAGGCCGAGGATTTAGCTCAGTGGTTCCACCGCTTGCCTTGCAAGCAGAAGGACCTGAGTTCAATCCCCGGTACCAAAAATAAATAAATAAATAAACTAAAAAGGCAGAGCATTAGGAAAATGTTACAGCTTTTGCCTGCTGTAGGAAAGAAACATTGGCAAGGGCTCCACCGCTGGGCTACACCCCAACAGTAATGCAAACACTCCTTTTTTTTTTTTTGGTACCAGGAATCGAACTCAGGACCTCATGCTTACAAGGCAGGTACAGCACCACTGAGCTAAATCCCTGGCCCCTAATGCAAATTCTTGGTCCATTCTTTTTTTCTGGTACCGACGATTGAATTCAGGTCCTTGCACTTGCGGGGCAGGCAGCGGAGCCACTGAGCTAAATCCCCAGTCCCCCAGTGCAAATTCTTGATAAGCTTCTGGGAATTTTATTTTCTGCATAATCTACTACCAAAATGTTTCAAAATCAAATCTATAATCCAACATATCCTCTGTACCTCTAAGCTGAGTGCAGTAGCCGGCTCCCATTCTGGGGCTGAGGCAGGATGACCTCAAGTTTAAGGCTAGCCTGGGCAACACAGAGCGACTCTGTCTCAAAGAACAAATCAGACAAGGGCCAGGGATTTAGCTCAGTGGTTCCACCGCCTGCCTGGAAAATGGCAAGGTCCCAAGTCTGATCCCCAGTACCAAAAAAAAAGAAAAAAAAACTTTCCATAGATTTAGCTCAGTGGCGCTGTGCCTGTTGCGCAAGCTCAGGGACCCGAGTTCAATCCCCGTACCAAAAAAAAAAAAAAAAAGGAACAAAAGCAGGCAACAAGTGCCCTGCGAGGCATCTACCACACCCGCATCATGCTCCACACCACCTTCTCCACACCACCTTCCGGTTTCCTTTATGTTTTCTGACCTTTATCTATTGGTGATATCCCCTAGAACAGCCTCCCTATCAGTGTATACTGAAAATCTAAAACATAGATTTTCTATCTTGTGATCTATCTACTGCAAGCCAAACATGCTACAAGGAGAAAAACTCAAAAAATAGACATATCTGCTTATGCATCCTTAAAATGTTTATGACTGGACTCATTCTCCATTTGCTAAGTCCCACCCATTATTTTAACACTACATAGCTGAAATTCTCCTACAATGCATTACCACAATCAAAACAAATCAAGAGAACTACAAAAATATTGTTCTGAGATTCACAATCCTATATGGGCTACTGAACAATAATTTCTGCTCATCCAAAACTGCCCAGGCAGGGCCAGGGATTTAGCTCAGTGGTTCCGTCGCCTGCCTTGAAAGCACAAGGTCCTGAGTTCAATCCCTGGTACAAAAAAAAAAAAAAAAAAAACTGCCCAGGCAAAAATAAAAACTTTTACATATAGCCAGGCATGATAACACACTCCTGTAACCCCAGCACTCGGGAGGCTAAGGCAGAAAGACTGCAGGAAGTTCAAAGCCAACCTGAGCTACAAAGCAAGACCCTGTCTCAAAAACACAAAACAGGGCCGGGGATTTAGCTCAGTGGTTCCGCTGCCTGCCTTGAAAGTAGAAGGTCCCTAGTTCAACCCCCAGTACCAAAGAAAAAAAAAAACACAAAACAAAACAACTACATTTGTTATATGCTGAGAATGGAAAGCTGAAATCTATTCTCTACATTCTGTCAAATTCTCTAGTCCACAAAGAAAGGAAAAACAATCACATTGCAAGTGATAATACTTCTCTATGACTAATGAACATTCCATGCCCTTCTCTTGATATTTCTAGAAGTTCAACTACAAAAAAATACTTTTGGCCACCAAGAAAAGAAAACTTCCCTCAGTATTACAAGTTCTCAAGAGTGTTCAGAAAAATTGCAAAATAGTGTTTCACCAAACAGTGTTTCACTAGTCCAGGCTAGCCTTGAACTATGTAAGCCCAGGTTGGCCTTGAACTCACAATCCTCCTGCCTCAGCCACCCAAGTGATGGGATTACAGGCCTGCGCCACCACACCTGGATAAAGAGGAAAGTTTTCCTTTTGCTTAGTCAGAAGATCTGAACAACTGAAAATAGGCAGTAGTCAATGTTAAACTAAGCCAGGCATGGTGGCACATGCCTGTAATCCCAGCACTCAGGAAGCTGAGACAAGAGGATCGATATGAGTTTGTGGCCAGCCTACACTACACAGTAAACTCCAGACATGAACTACATAGTGAAACCCTGCCTCAAAAACAAAAACGAAAAAGTTAAACTATACTAGTGCAAATGGAAGTAAAAAAGAATTCGCTAGAGGCTAACATTGTTGGGGCATTTTTTTCCCATTAAAAAACCTACAGAGGGCCAGGGATTTAGCTCAGTGGTTCTGATGCCTGCCTGGCGAGCGCAAGGTCCTAAGTTCAATCCCCAATACCAAAAAAAAAAAGTACCCTACAATACATATACCTATTTGGTCCAATCTGTCTTCCAGATTTCACAAAATCTGTTTAAAATCCCAAGTCAATAGTAGACTCAAACTGTAAGTTCCAGTATCTGACCAAGAAAGGACAACCCTTCAAACTGTAACCTCAGTATGGCATCCTAGCTACTCAGTCCTAATGTTTCCAATAAACAGTCCTTACCACTCTGGCCGCTCTCTCCTGAGATTCACATTTCCTGCAAAACCACGGTCCAGTAGGTACTTGAACAATGCCATAGCAAGCTGTTGGGAAACAAAATGTTTTAAAATGTTAGCACTTGAAGGACTACTGAAAATCTGAGAACCTTTCAAAGCCCTAATAAATTACTCCTCAAACTATTCAAGTCAACTACTGGCTTGGCAGAGAATTAATTTTTATATAACTATTTTTTTGAGACAGGGTCTAAGTAGGCCAAACTCAAGATCTTCCCGAGTCAGCCTTCAAGGTGCTAGGACTACAAGTGTGTACCACCCTGCCTGACTCGTACAGTCATCTGAGATAATTAAAAGGTAAAATAATATATATTATTTCGTCTAAGTCTTTTTTTTTTTTTTTTTGTACCAGGCATTGAACTCAGGTCCTTGCACTTGCACAGCAGGCGGTGAAACCACTGAGCTAAATCCCCGGCCCACATCTATGTAAGTCTGAATGTTACAAATACTCCCGTGGTTTTTTTATTTTTTTATTTTTTGGTACCGGGGATCGAACTCGGGACCTTGCGCTTGCGAGGCAGGCACCGGAACCACTGAGCTAAATCCCCGGCCCCCCTATTATAAAATTAAAAAGCCTCGATTTAAAAAAAAAAAAAACCACGGGGCCGGGGATTTAGCTCGGTGGTTTCGCCGCCTGCTGAGCAAGCTCAAGGACCCGAGTTCGATCCCCGGTAGCAAAAAAAAAATTTTATAATAGGAAGAAAATTACGTAGAATTCTGTACAAAAGAAGTGTGGTGGTGTATGCCTGTAATCCAGGAGGCTGAAGAAGGAAGATCACAAGTTTAAACTCAGCCTGGGCAACTTAGTGACCTGGTGAGATCCTGTCTCAAATGAAAAAGAGCTGAGGATGTAACTCACTGTGAAGGCCTTGGGTTTAATCCCCAGAGGGGGGGGGGGGGGGACTAATATTAAAAAGTAAAATGTTTCCATTTATACGAAATGTCTGGAATAGAAAAATTAGTGGTTGCCTAGTGCTGTACCAGTTGAGCAAAAATGGGAAGTGACTGCTAATGGGTCCAAGATTTCTTGTTAAAGTGATGAAAAGGATCTAAAATTGATTGTGGTAATGGCTGCACAACTCTGAATACACCAAAAACCACTCAACTGTAACACTTTAAGTGGGTGAGTTGTATGGTATGGAATTATCTCTCAATAAAGCTCTTATAAAACAAGAAAAACAAGTATGTTTATCTCTAAATACTTTGTAACACAAATGTTCCAACAAGTAGGATCTGTGTCATATCTAATTCACATCCTCTCCAGGCAAGGTTGTGCACACCTGTAATCCCAGCACTTGGGAGGCTGAGGCAGGAGGATCGATGAAAGTATGAGGCCAGCCTGGGCTACATAGTGAGACCCTGCCTCAAAAAACAAAAACAAAAACAAAACAAAAAAAAGACAGCGAGCCTCATTGTTTAACAGTTCATTTTTAATATTAGTATTTCATTAGTTCAAACTTGAAATTTTTCTGAAAATCTGAGAGCACATTCAATGGACATTCCCATGAGTTTGCTCGGCAGAAACTTGAAAATCTTTTCCTTGGTTGTGGCGTTGGGGACTGAACCCAAAGCCTTCTCACTGAGCTACATCCCCACTCTTAACTGAGTCAGAGTCTCAGTGAATTGCCCAGGCTGGACCCAAGCTTGCAATCCTCCTGCATCAGCCTCCAGAGCTGCTGAGATTAGAGGTATGTGCCAACGCACCCAGTAAACATATCTTAAATATCAAGAAGCAATAAATAAAATCAGCATAACTTTTTAAAATTCCAAAATCTAAATTTCTAATCCTTCTTACATGTGTAAATACATTAAGAGTAAAAATGTTTTTATCAGCCAAGAAATACAGCGTGAGAGTCCAAACATACTTTTCTTTGGAAGAATTTAAATAATTCAAGAGTCACTTTGGGCTTGGTGGCAAATACCTGTGATTTCAGCATTTGGGAGGCTGAGGCAGGAGAATCACCTCAACTTCAGTTCAATGCCAGCCTGGGCTACATAGTGGGTTCGAGGCCTCCCTGTACTACACAGCAAGATCCCATCGCAAAAAAAAAGATTCAGATGAATATTTTCAATATTGGGAAAGAGTCGTCTTAACAAAATTTGACAAGTTATTATCCATCATAACAGTGCCTCCACAAATGTCAACAGACACAAACTACATGCCAGTCCTCAGACCTTAACATCAGTATCTGGTTTTGACACGTTGCTTTCACGCCTCAAAAGTGTGCAACCTTTCCTGAAACTTACAGCAACTGTGAATTCACACCCTCGGGGCTCCTCACCGCTGCCTAAGTGTCCCTTCTTCCCAGAGGCCACACTGCGTTCTTTTCTTTGGGGGGGGGGGTACCGGGGATCGAACTCGGGACCTTGCGCTTTCAAGGAAGGCCCGGTGCCACTGAGCTGTATCGCCAGCCTCACGCTGCATTCTCTAAAGACTGCACTGACCCCCTTTTACTACTATTAAACAGTAGCTGCCAAGTTCAGAAGTAGGAAGAAGGGTGAAATGGTGACAAACACAGAACTACCAAAGAAAAGGATCTAGAGGGCCGAGGATTTAGCTTAGTGGTTCCGCCGCCTCCCTCACAAGCGCAAGATCCCGAGTTCGATCCCCCGTAACCAAAAAAAAAAGAGAGAGAGAAAAGGATCCAGAATTGTTTCCGCCTCAGTTCTTCACGGCTTTTATTGCTTAAAAGGCAGAAATTCCAACGACCAAGAAAATTATCTTACTGGTGTTATGGACTTTTTTTTTTTAACATGCAAGATCACTCACCAACTGGAAATATACCCCGAAATAAACTGAAAAGTTCCCCAAGTCACCTGACAGCACCACCACCTCCTGGGCTCTTCAGCCACACCGGCTGAGGCGTGGCCTGATGAGGCCACTAAGCAGAGCCTTCACCAGCAGCTCGGGTCAGCTAGGCCCCAGACCCTCCCGCTGGCAGGCACCGCGCCGTTCTCTCCGCAGGAAGCTCCCAGTCGGCGGCGGCGGCGGCGGCCGCAGGGCGTCTACCAGAAAGCTTGAGGTGCAGGAGAGCCTGCTCCACCGCCCGCTCTAGGATTCCCCCATCCCGGGCCAACGCCGCGAGCCACAGGAAGTCCCCAGCCACTGCGGCAGACAGGCGCAAGCCGCGGAGGGGGAGGGGAAGGGGCGGGGACCCCGCGATCCCACCCCCACCCCGCCGCCACCGCGACCCCGAACGCGGGGTGCACGCTCCCACCGCCGGCCCCACCCGGGCGCCGGGCGCAGGCCGCAGGTCCGCAGTCCCCCGCGGCCCGAGAAAGTCGCAGACCAGGGCGCCTGACACTTGAGTGCGCGCGGGCTCACGTGACAGCGGGCCACACGCGCTTTCCCCACTCGCCCGGCCCGCACCGCCTCCCGCCCGCGGCAGACCTACGGGGCTCAACTGGGGCCGGGACGCCGGCCGGGGGCGGGGCGGGGCCGCGCGGGGGGAGGGGCGGCGGCCGCGGACGCTGCCAAGGTGGGGCGGCGGTGACGGTTGGCGCAGGCCTGCGCGGCGCGCGGCGGGGTGTTTACCTTGATGCACCGCGACGCTGCAGCCGTGCCCGTCGCAATAAACCAGCGGGTTCTCGGCCCAGCCTCTCTCATCTGAGCAAACGCAACAGCCTCCAATCATCTCCTTCATACTATGGGAGACCTCGTCCTCCAGTGACACGGGCCGGTCGCTAGAGACCATCTAAGAGGGAGTTGGGGGGACCATTAAAAATCTCATGCAAGCCACGAGTCTCTCCCCAGCCCGCGCCCTTCCGCGCCTCCCCAGCTCCCCACGCCCGCCCGCCCGCCGCCCGGCGGCGCCGCTCGGTCACTCACGTTCCGCGCTGGAGTCAGGAGCCATGTCCTTGCTGACTCCCCCACCGCCCCGCCGCCGCCGCCGCCGCCGCCGCCGCCTCCTCCTCGGCGGCTTCCCTCCCCGCCTCCGCCCGGCGTTAGCGCTGGCGCCCGGCGCGGGCACACATAATCCGGGAGGCCTCCGCACAGGCGCACTGGGGGGGCTCCGCGGCGCCCGGGGCGGCGAGGGAGGGGACGGGCTGCGCTTCCTCCTCCGAGCGTCACCCGGCGTGCGCGCCCGCCCTTCGGCCGGCGCGAGGGGGACGGCCCGAGAGGCGAGGCCTGCGTGCGCGCCGCCGCGTCCAGCCGCCGGCCCGGCCCTTCCCCTCCCCCGCGCCCTGGCCGCCACTGAGGTGTGCGGGGGCCGGGGGGAGCCTCGGCGCGCGGAGGCAGAGCGAGTCTGCGGGGGCGCGCACGCGAGGGCGGGGACGTTGGGCCTCCCTCTGCAGCGCGGGGCGCGCGAGCTGCGCGTGCGCATCGGGAGAGACCAGGGAGGGAGCCCCGGAGAGGGGGAGGCGCCGGCCGAGGGCGGGAAGGGGATTCGTCGGAGCCGCAGGAGGGGACTCCCCGGGGGCATCTCCTGGCCCTGGGAACCTACCTGACAGCCTCTTCTTCCCACAGTGTCCGGTGGGTGACTATGGTTGAGAGCGTACACCGGCTTCCACGAAGGGTGTAATGAAGCATGGCTTCCTGCAGTTGGCCACGCTAACTTCACAACGCTGCCGCAGCCTCTCCACCCATTAAATTCACATCCTGGATTCCACCCAAGGTTTGCCCATTGGAAGTGTTGCCAGAGCTGCCGCCCACGTTATGTACCACGTTGCCCCCACTGACAAATGAAAGTGCATCCAAGAAGGTCAAAAGCTGGTGTTCGGGCCGGGGATTTAGCTCAGTGGTTCCAGCGCCTGCCTCGCAAGCGCAAAGTCCCGAGTTCGAGCCCCGGTCTCCCCGCAAAACAAAAAGCTGGTGTTAGGGAGCCCCAAGACTACTCTCAGCTTACTGTGTGGGAGTACAAGTGGATATCAGGAATTAGCAATATAATGGGATCTGAAAATGTAGTTCTAGGACAAAACAGGTTCTGGCCTGTCACCAACGGATAATTAAGACCATAAGACAGTGGAGTCCAGTTCTGATTGAGGAGTCTTCTGACTCTTTTTTTCTACTTTTACTCTTGGAAATGTGAAGTCATTGAAGTGGCAGAGAGATGGGAGCTCCCTCCTCATACAGAAATAGAAAATGGATTAGGCCTGTCTGAATAATTAGCTGGATACTAAGTTTTTTAGCTCTAAGATCCCCCACTGTCGCCCCATCTTTTATGGATCCATGTAAACCAAGTATTGATTTTAAGCGAAAAGTGACTAGTCATAAAAGTTTAGCATGAAATGAGAATTATGGATTGATTGTTTAAATGACAAGCATAGTTATAGGGTGAATTCATGGCTTTTGGTTAATAACTTGCAGGTACAAAATGGTTTATCAGGAATTAGCCATATAATATGATCTGGAAAATGCACTTACACCATGCTAAAGGATGGAAGGACCCAAGTTCTCCTCGTCAATCACCAGAAAATAATGTAATGGTTTAAGCTTTAAAAGCATTCCAAATGTTCTCCTAAAGAAGAAAAGGATAGCGTGGGTTTTTTCTATTTCAAATTAATTGCTAAAATGATACTACAATGTAAGCATAGATTACCAAATATATTCAAATCCCTTAAAAGCCAAATGAGATATCTGTAGAAATGGAAATTACCGAAGCTTACTGTTACGGAGAAAATGTCCACCAAAAAGACATAAGGAAGATTTGGAAAAGTTAACTACAGGATTACAGAGTGTATGACAACAATTAATAAATTTTGGGACCTATAATAATGTTCTTAAAATGACCTTAAACAAAAGTACAGTTTTTGTAAATCCTAACTACACGGTGTACAGTATTTTATCTGGCCCTTATACAAAGGGTACCAGTTCAATATCTAATTCCTGCCCAAACTCCTAATGTAATTTTGAGTTAAAATCAATGTGAAACTTCCCTTTCTAAACACTGCAATCAAGCCTTCATGCACTAAGTTATTTAAAAATACATCCATTTTATATTTAATGTGTTGGAGCTTACTTCTTGTGATGGAATTAATTTGTATGTAAAGAAGGATGGGTACCTTACCTTATCCTGTAACATATAATAAAAGAAATGTAGGTAAAACACATACTCTTTCCAATACAAAACAAAGAAATTGTTATTTGTAATAGGTTTTTGAAATTTAAACAAACAACGAAAATACACCAATGTATAGCAGGTTTATATATACATAATACTATCTGAAGCAGAAATTTTAAGTGAAATTTTAAATAACTACATAAATGTTGACAAAATACAATTCTAAGTATTTAAAGCTTATTCTTAACATGGTATATTGAGCTATGAAAATGATTAGAAAAAAACAGTAGGTGCAAAAGGTCATTTTCAGTCTAACTCAAGTCCCAGATATTGAACTTTTTCTTATATCTTTTCTTATATCTTTTTCTTATATCTGAAGTAAATGGTGTACTTCTATCAAACATTAAGTGAAAAGGAAGAATCACAGACAGTATAAAATCGTTTAAATATACAGTGGATTATTTATTCAGTAAATATTTATTGAACATTTACTGTGTGCCACAGACTGTTTTGGATACAGAAATTACAACAATGAAAAAGTTGCACTTGTCTTTTATTAGATATAAAGATAGATGTGTAATATGCTAATTAGCATATATCAGAATGGATAAAACATAATTAATTTACAAAACTGTTAAAGTTCCATTAATTTTTTTTAAATACACTGTTGAAAAATAAATTATGAGATTTAGAGAATCATTTCATAGAAAACAGTAACTTAATCTTAAATAGTGTTACCATTTAAATCTAATTCCATCATATTCTCAAACTATCCAAGTATATCTAGTATCTATAGGATAAAACAAAAGCCTATTGTCTGTAATATCCTTCATATAAAACCACTAACACAATACTGGCTCATCTATTTCTCTAAACTAATCATCTGAAGCAAACCACAAAAAAAAACTCAAGTAAAGTATTTTATGATGTAACCTCTAACCCTACCATAATGAGAAAATGTATTTCCACTCTAAGGGTAATATATCTTCTTATAATTTTCTTTAGTCCCTAACCAAGGCAGCAATTTTTTGAATTTGCTTTTCCATAATCATTTACATAAGTAGATGTGAAAGAAATATTTAAAACTACATTTGGTTCCTATATGTTAACATTGCTTGTATTAATCGCCTTTTTAAATTTAGGTGTAATACGCCTTGTATTTGTTCATATTATACTTAGTCTATGAGACCCATTGTAAAAGTATATTTCTAGGGCCGGGGATTTAGCTCAGTGGTTTCGCCGCCTGCTGCGTAAGCGCAAGGACCCGAGTTTGATCCCCGGTACCAAAAAATAATAATAATAATAAAGTATATTTCTATAGTGAGGTATAGAAACTCAGGTATATTTCTAAGACCCCCTGACTTCCACACTGTAGGTTGGCCCTGAAACTAAGTTTTATACAACAATCAGAATTCATCCATTATTAAACCTCATCAGAAACTATAATCTTGTTTGTAAATAATTACTTGGAAAATTAAAAGGCAATTCCTTATGATCTGTAGACTTTCCAGATATATCCTCTTCAACATACATTTGATTCTCAAGAGTTTTTCCTTTTACTCAAAGTGTATTATGAGCCCTATGTATTTATGGTAGTTTGATTAAAGTATGTATTTCTGCAACTAGTTTTGTTATTTACTTCATTGATCCAAACCCACACATGGTGTCTTTTTTTATCATGTATTCATATTTTCATCAAAGGTTATTCAATTATAGTTTTAGTTGAGATTCTGGTAATGGCTTTTGCAAGATCTCACTTAATGAAGCATAATTAGCTATGAGATTAGATTTTTTTTGTTTTTTACTCACAGTAGCACCTAGCAAGTGTCTTACACATAGTAGGCCCACAATAAATGTTTATTTAATGTACAGTATTGGTATTTAAAAGCTAATTGCAGACTGAGTTTATTCTTTATTCTTTAGAATAAAGCAAGGCTTTATTTTGTATGCACAATTTAACTAAAATTTCCAAGTCATGATTGACAGAAATTTTCAGATAAACTGGGGCCAGAGATTTAGCTCAGTGGTTCTGTCACCTGCCTTGCAAACACAAGGACCTGAGTTCGATCCCCGGTACCAAAAAAAAAAAATT